ATATCGACGAATCCCGTTTGCTGCGGTGCTGGACTTGGTGAGTCGGCCGGAGGAGCGGCCGCGGGGGTATCTTGTGCGATCGCCGACTGCGGTCCAGCCACCGAGAACAACTTCGACCCTGGGCCGAGCATGCCGACGCATAGCACGGCCAGGCACGTGATCCAGATTCCTATTCGAGTCAAATTTGCCAAGGTTGCCTCCTAGTTGCCACCTGAGCTGGCGAGTCGTTTGATGATGATTTCTGCTTCCTGCCGCGCCGGTTGATCGCCATATTGCTCGATCGCTTCTCGCAAGACCCGAGCCGCTTCGTCGGTCTGCCCTGCTCTTTCCAGGGAACGACCTGCTTGTAGTAAGCACTCGGCTGCGACAGGGCGATGGTTGGGATAGAGAATTGGCGGTCGCATCAACGTGAGAGCTGCGGTGGAGTCGGTATCGAGTTGTCGCCAGGCTTTGCCGATGACAAGCGTCGGCCCTGCCAGTGCCGCCCCGCGCAGAATGCCGGCGTCGAGCTGTTGTTGCCATTGGCGGATGTCGGCCTCTTTCGCGGTGACAATTTTCGTTTGCCACAGCTGTGCTTCGGCCAGCAAGGCAATCGGCGGAACGTTGCTGCGGCGAAGGTTGCCTAGCACGCCCATGGCCAACGTTCGATCGCTCGTGCCGAGCAACCAACTGGCACCCAACAGCTGCGCGTACGGCGAAGGTGACTCGATCCATTGTCGAGCGGCCCGATCCCGATCGAAGCTGGGGGGCAAACTGAACCAGGCCAGCGGCATCGCGGCGATATGAATCGTCTGGGGATCGTCTTCGGTAATCTTGAGGAACGTGTTTCCCGCGTCCGCGATACGTCCAGCGTTATGCAGCGCGATCGCCTGACGGGCCAAGATTTCTCGACGAACCCAGGGGCGACGTTCTCCCGTGACGGCCGATTCAAGCATACGAGCCGCTTCACTCGACTTGCCTGCCGCTAGTAGCTGATTCGCTTGGACGACGTCGGAAGCGTAGTCGGTTTGAACCGAGGCAACTTTATCGGCGGGAATTGTTGTTTGGCCGCTGGGGGTCTGCAGTGTAAGAAGCTGTCCGGTGTAGTCGATGACATTGCCACGAACTTTGGTTGGTTCCGCTCCGGCTTGCGCTGGATAAAGCGTCACGACATCTTCCGCCGCGCACCGCTCCATGCCACATGTCGCGAGGGCAGCAGCGAGAACCAGCAGATAACAAAGCACGCGACGAGGCAAAGGACTTCTCTATTTTCTTCAAGGAA